TATTTTCTCTGTTGGGCAAATAAATTAAATTATTATTATTATTATTATTATTATTATTATTATTATTATTATTATTATTATTTTTACTATTATTATTAATTATATTGTCTTTTAGTCTCTATATTATTTTTATAGTCTTTGAATACGGCCCAACAGAAAAAAGGTGTAAGGAATCGAGTATAGCTCGCTGATTGGTTGAATAAATGTAGCTCACTGCAGTCGACATTCTGTGAATGAAGCTTATAGACGGAGAGATAGCTACGTATGGACTGCACTGATCGACTATAGTCATGATTTTTTGTTAAAAGTTTGTTATCACATTGACAAAGCCATAGCTCATCAGTCAAAAGTCGCTGCAGAGGCGGAGAGCGTGAGCGGGCGGTAAAACGCGTAAAGTTTTGTCAATAAAAAAATAATCGAATATAGTCATGAAAACTGGTACACTTATAGATTTTAAGTAGATAAACATAGAAAAAATATTGTCAGAAGGCTAGGTGGTGGCTTAAGCGCTCTCAGAAGCGATAAAGTAGTAAATTGTGAATTGAAAAATAAATCACAATATATAGTTCTGACATTTTGTTTATTATTAGTTTATAATGCAAATAGACTATCTGTAAATTTACAGAAGTTAAAAGTGAGGTTAATAACCAAAAAAACATTATTGATCACCGCGCGTGCAAATTTTGCCCTGACTGTTACCCCCGGTGTTTTTATTGTTTTATTGTTAAGAAATGAATAAATATAGTTCAGACATTTTACATAACCAATCTTTACATATATATTTATGTTATAACGAAACAACAGAAGTTTAGTCAGAGGTTAAGACTATGCCAGAGTCAAGTATAGCGCGCAAGACAATAGCACGGGCCGACAAAAAAAAATTGTTTGTTTTTGCGACATGACCCTACCTATCTTTAGAAAAATTTCCCGCTGAATCCGAAACAGATAAAAAGACAATTTTCTGACGTATGGATTTTTCTCACATACTCTCATTCTCATCAAAAATTAAAAAAATCCAAATTGGCTATCCAACCTACCCATCCTTAGTAAAATTTTTCGCTGAATCCGAAATTCATAAAAAAAGTTCGGACGTATGGATTGCCCCACACCCTCAATTCTCTCTAAAAATGCAAAAAAATCCAAACTGGTCATACAATCTACTTATATTTAGTAAAATTCGCTGGATCCGAAAATGGCAAAAAAATTGTTTGGACGTGAGGGATCCCTCTACTCATTTGTATCTCTCACTTTCTTCTTTCAAAAATAAAAATAAATACAAATCAAACGTGGCAACCGTTATAACTAAAATCTGTCGATAATTAAAAAATATTATTGAACTAAAATCTCCCTTTGCTCGTACACTTAACCTCACCTCCAGCTAGCATTTTCAAATTACGGTTAGCATCCTAGCATTGATGACATATTTCATTGAAAGCTTATTGTTTTCCAAAATGTTTCAAGCTCTTAAGTAACTTTAAGCTAGGTAGGTATTTTCTAAATCCAGGTTATAACTTACTCTGGGTTGGTAGACGCCTTGATGTGGCCCCAGGGCTTGAACTCGCATTTTAATTGAATGCGAAGTTAAAATGCTAAAACGTTTTAGAAAATACCTTCATGCTACTAGCTTAATGTTACTTAAGAGCTTTTGAAAAATAGTAAGCTTTTACTGAAAAATTTCATCAGTCCTAGGATGCTAACCGTAATTTGTAAATGATATCTGGGGGGCGAGGTTAAGTGTACGAGCAAAAGAAACTTAGTTCATCAATATTATTCAGTTTTGGTTTTAACGACAGATTTTATAAAAGTTATAACGGTTGCCACGTCTGATTTGTATTTATTTTTATTTTTGAAAGAAACAAGTGAGAGATACGGATGAGCAGGGGAGATCCCTCACGTCCACACAATTTTTTGCAATTTTCGGATTTAGCGAATTTTACTAAAGGTAAGTTGGATGAGCATTTAAATGTTTGGGGGGAATTGAGGGTGTGTGGGAGAGAGTCCATAAATTTTTCTTTTTATCATTTTCGGATTCAGTGGAAAATTTTACTAAAGAAGGGTAGGTTCACGTCTCAAAAACACAGGATTTCTTTTGGCGGCCTGTGTAGTCAGACCGTTATTCTGGCATGGTTTTCAAAATAGTAACCAAGCGTCAACTCGCTTCTGATTTTCGCTCCAGTCACACCTCTAACAGCGTTCACTGCTTATGCATTAGATTTTTCGTGTATTGATAAATTTTTAAGCCACCAACAATGGCGAGTGTTAAAGTGTGTGTTTTCAATTGCAGTTACAATGACAAAAAAAAATGACAGATGTAAAGTACAGCAGCGATGATGGTACTCAGGACGAATCATCAGATTGCGATTCAGAGTAAAATGCACTGTGCGTATTTCGGTAGAAAAACCAATTTAAAACCATTGTGAAAACAAATATTACCAAATAAAAAAATTCGATTCCACTTAAACTTATGTAGCTCTGGCATAGCCTTAACCTCTGAGTAAACTTCTGTTGTTTCGTTATAAGAAACATATATAATATAAAGATTGGCTACGTAAAATGCTAGAACTGTACTTAATCATTTATTAACAATAAAAGATCAAAAACGCCGGGCGTAACAACCACGGCAAAATTTGCACGCGCAGTGATAAATAATGTTTTTTTGACTATTAGCCTCACTTTTAACTTCTGTAACTTTACAGATAGTCTATTTGCATTATAAACTAACAATAAACAAAATGTCAGAACTATATATTGTGATTTATTTTTCAATTCACAATTTACTACTTTATCGCTTCTGAGAGCGCTTAAGCCACCACCTAGCCTTCTGACGATATTTTTTCTGTGTTTATCCACTTAAAATCTATAAGTGTACCAGTTTTCATGACTATATTCGATTATTTTTTTATTGACAAAACTTTACGCGTTTAACCGCCCGTTCACGCTCTCCGCCTCTGGAGCGACTTCTGACTGATGGGCTCTGGCTTTGTCAATGTGATAACAAACTTTTAACAAAAAATCTTGACTAGTCGATCAGTGCAGTCCACACGTAGCTAGCTCTTGGACTATTAAGCCCTTACTAGCTCCTTCTCTCTCGCACACGTCTGAGCGATTGCCGTTTATATAGGCAAAATTACAGTTGGGCGAGTCCAGTACTTTATAAGGTCTATGGTTAGTACAAAGACGCGATCAAAACAACCAGGGAGACTAGACAAGGAGCACGAACTCATACGGGAAACTTGAAAAAATTTGTCCGAGAAATGGCAGAAGTTGGAGTGGCGCTAGTGTTCCATGTGTCCCGAAGTGAATGTATCAAAATAAATATAAGCGAAGTAAGCAAATAACCAATTTTATTTTATAAAGAGTTGAGTAGATATATCGGGAAGGTATAGATAGTATATTAACCTAAAAAGTAGAAGTCAAGTCAATAATAATTATTGCAATTTGTTTTTATAGTAGTAAATAAAAACTACTGCTATTTTTATCTACCTTCTCTAAACGGTACATATGGGACACTAGCGCCCTCTTATTTTGGTAAGATTTTTGTTTACATGGAGTTCGGGCGCCTTGTGTAGTCTCCATGAAAACAACTGTCAAATTTTTAATCTGAGTGTCAGTTCTGTTTTGTTTTATAGGCGCTAGTCAAACTACAATCTAAAATTAATACCCAACAAACGTCTTCCATTTTCTTTCACTCTAATACTGGAATGGTTGTCTGTGATAGATTGAGACTGTGAAGACATTTATACCATCATTGTATCTTTTTTTAGCGCGTTTAAAAATGAATTCACGGCCGCAACGACTGTCTTTGATATTAGGACATACCCGTGACGTAATGGCAATCTTAAAACGGTTCTAGTGTATTTTTATTAAATTTATTCTGCTTGTAAAATTTAACGAACAAGCTTCTTATATCCTTTTTCTTTTTAAAGCTAAAGAGTCACAAAATTCCTAACAATTTACAGTACTGTAGGCAACCAGAAATTACTGCTTAAATTTTTATTACCATCACGAGATAAATTACAAATATATATCAATCTTATCAGAAGAACCTTGACAAAAAGCATGGTTTGTTGTAGTGTACTAAAACTAAATTAATTCTGTTCCAAGAATGTTTTCTTTTAGTGGCACACATGGAATAAATTGAAAAGTGTGGTAAAGAGTAAATATTAGCAGACGCGTAACTACTATAATCCTTGATAAGGTTCAGTAATCTAAGGCTTACAGAACCGTAAATACAGAATCCAGTTATTTAATATTTACATTTAATATACGTAGGTACAGTTTTTCTTACTGTGTGTGAATATGAGTTCGGAACTTACCGAGGATCAAAGAAATGTACTAAAAGCCATCGTACACAATGAAAGTTTTTACAGTTTCGATGTACAACGTGCTACTCCAAAAGGAGAGGGATATATGGGATCACTCTTCAATATATCACTCAAGGGAGAGAGAAATAATCTGGAACTAATTTTTAAACAAGCAGAGCCCACCGACAATGTGGAACATAAAATGTTTGTAAGGAATGCTTACCTAAGAGAAATTTACATTTATAACAACGTACTCAATCAATTTGAAAATTTTCAAAAGGAGAATAATGTGATCAATGGATTTACAGGATATGCAAAGATATATGGAAGCAGTGATAAAGAGAATAATGAGTATATAATATTAGAAAATTTGAAAGGAAGTGGTTATAAAATGTGGAATAGGAAGGTGCCTATGGATGACGAACATGTAGCTTTAGTGTTTTCTGAGTACGGAAAATTTCATGCCGTTTCTTTAGCTATGAAAGAAAAAAGTCCAGATTTGTACGACAAGCTTACGGAAAACCTTGACGACTTCTACGGTAGATCAATGTCTGTCGAGGAATCTAAGGAAATGATAAACAATGTATTGCAAATTGGCTTCAAGGCAGTCGAAAGTAATGATTCAGCTGCTCAGTTATTTAAGAGATTTGCAGATGTTGCAGAAAAGTTCTTATTGGAAGACATGCAAAATCTTGATGAACAACTGGTAGTTACACATGCTGACTGTTGGTGTAATAATATGCTGTTTAAGTACGAGGTGGGTAAATTTTAATATTTATTAGCAGAATCACAATTACAGGTTGTTTTCTAAATTTATGTGAGAACTTCAAAATATTTTTGAGTCATATTAAACCAGGAAACCTTTACGAACCAAAGGTCTAACCTAAGCTTTCGTGCAATTGTTAAATATTGTTATACTATACAGGGTCTCCGCAAATTTCACCGACAACGCTTGACTGCATATTCACGACGATAAATAAATACGATCTACGAAAAAAAGTTAAATATTTTTGGTTTTTGAGTTACAAGCCTTCAAAGTTGGCAGAAATAAAACTAATTTAATTAATAACTTCATAACCCTTTTACCGATCGTGTTAAAATTTTGCACATTTTTTTGGACTATTATGGCGTATTATTTCTTAAAGCTTTAGTCAGATCGATGGGTGATAGTTTTCTCCGGTTACCTACTCCTTTTAGCGGCCAAAACTTTTAGAGTGGTCGTATTTTTTTAAAAACGGGCAGCATTGAAAAGGTCGTTTAATTAAAAAAAAATATTGTCTCCTGAGAAAATCGCCTACAGAAAGCCATTCTTGAGAAAAATGGCATTATTTGCAGATCCGTATGGTTCGGTTTGCGTGGCAATGTCACGGATTTAAAACTTTGAGCTCAGTATGCGATGAAAATAAGATGTTGATTGCTGTGGCTATCAGGTAATGTCATTATTGTCGTGTTTCTTTAGGATTCTTATCACTCCACACATGCAAATTATGAAAACTGACAACACTGTTCCTTGTAATTTTTGAAGCATATTATCTTCTGCGAAGCCATTCACCAACCAGCGGCAAAATTGTAAACGTGCGTTGGAATCTAGATTTTCAAGTTCTTGAGCAGCAGTTAAATGAAATGGCCGAAGAAGTTGCTTTTTTAAAATTTTGTGAACAGTAGTTTTCATACATTTAATTGTCTTGATACACTGTGGACACTTAAAATGTGACGAAGTAAGTTCAGGAACATGTAGAGAATCTGCTGCTTTTTTCCATTAATAACAAACAAATTAAAATACATAATCCTCATAAGTATAATTTACAAATTTTCAGCAAAAACTATTAGAGACATAACAATAATTTGACAACTAACTTGACAAATGTTTATTTTTATTATTTTGGTTATATTGTTTCTGGTCATGGCCAATTTGACAACAGGTCTGATATGAGAAAAAGTACCAAAAAATAGAAAATTGCGAATATCTCTAAAGGTAGTAACGGCGACCCTAACAATACTTATATGGCTTAAAAGGAAATTTCAATCTGCATACAACAGAGTAAAAAAATACAAGGTGTTCCATTTAAGTTAACAAAGTTAAAGTTATAGCTGTTTGAAGTTATCAAAATATAACAGCAAAAATGAAATACCTAGTATTAAATAGTTTAATTTGTTAGTATACCATAATGTAGTGTTACCGATGCCCTTTACAGGTACCAAATATCCGCTTGACATCACGCTTCTGAAAAGAGTTCTAGCATCTCCGCGGACTCTTGCATCTGTTTTTTCTTTAAAAATTAATATTTCAAAATCTGTAACTCCTAGGTATAGGGAATATTTAATAGACCTTCAAATTTCACGTAGAATCTGAAAATGTAGTAATATATAGGGTGTCCCATTTAAAATAACGAAGTTGGTGTCGACTTCCGGTATAACCGGAAGTGCTAGAGAGTTCTAGATATGTTAGTTGTGCCCTAGGGGCATTGCCATGTTGGTGGGACACCCTGTATACTAATGCGGTGAACTTTTGACTTAATTAGTTAATATTAACTTAATTTAAACTGATTTTTTAACTTTTAAAATTTTGTATCGGAAATTCGTTGGCTTAGATCCTTTGTTCATTATAGCTTTTTTATTCAAAATGATCCAAAAAACAATCCCCTGAAGTTATGATATGGGCAAAGACTCTTTGATATGGACTTAGAAACGCTGTAAGTATATTGTTTGACATTGGGGGGGGGGCGTGATATTCGAGATATAGGGTGTTCAAGTTTAAAAAAATATATTTTCGGTTATATCTTCATATTATAATAGGCTTTACATTAAACTCGTTTTAGTATTTTATAACTAGTTTTGCTTATTTGCTTATGAATCTGTAGGCCTTGTTGGACTTATGAACAGAGACAAATTGTGACAAAGAATAGAGGAAAATTGTAATCTCCTCAGGGAAAATCATGGTATGATAAGTTCCTCTATAAATATGTAGATTAGAAGATGTCAAAAGTGTATCGATGCGGAAGGACTTCTTTTGGACAATTTATATTGTTGTAGGGCTCGTTACTTAATTATTTACACGACCCATTTGCTAATGTTTATTATTTAGTTTGATATTTTTTCCAGAAATAAAAAGCTGCCAGTGGCGTATTCTTTTCTCTGGAAAAGTTGGCGGATGCATTAGTTGCATGTCACTGGTTAAAACCAGGAGGTTTTCATCAAATAAACGGATTAATTAATTCGGAAAATTCAATAAAACGTAAAAACAAGCCCAAATATCTCCTAAACTGCTGCTACTATTAAAAAATAACAAGAAATATTTTTCATTCATTCTACGTAACAATACCTGAATGGAACATTATTTCTACAAAAAAACGCCAGTGGCGAATTTTTTTCTTGGGGAAATGGGGCGATACCTCCAGTAGCACGCCATTGGTTAAAGCTACAAGGTTAAAATTATATTCAATAAAAGGGCTAATTAAGTGAATATAGAAAATTTCATTCAATTCCGTCCGCGCAATATGAACATATGGCAGCAGAAAATATATATTTTTTTGTAATCTTTAACACATTGTATCTCGAATACCGAGTCGCGCTGGAAAAAAGTTTATAGGGCAAACTCTACTTATTTTTCGGTAATGAATCAAGTCCTGCAGTTTCTGTATTTCAAGTGAAATCACCCTGTATACAGGGTGATCCATTATCGAGCGGCTGTATATAGAAAACTAGACGTGCTACGATTATGGAGTAAAAAATCTATTAACAAATACGACCAAACGAAATTGATTTAAAATATTTTCAAGTTCGTAACTTCACCGCTAGGGGGCGCAACTGCTAGTGTTACAGAAAATTGTCGATTTTTCGAAATTTTGCTTATATAACCTAAGTTGCAAATACATTTTTTAGATACACTGTTAAACCCTTCACAAGTTTTGTTTGAACTTTTTTTTTTGTTATTACCATAGCAACGCCAGTATGAAGGACGCCATCTTGAAATTTTTAAATTGTCATAACTTCTGAATGCCTTAATCGATTTCAAAAAACGGCGGCTCATTTTAAAGAACTATTAATAACATTTATATTTATGATATGGGAATAAAAATATTATTTTCCTGCGCAACGGTAGACGACGCTAATGAGAAAAGTTTTGTAATTGTCTCCGTTTACTAAAAAATTTAAATGCAACGATATAGTTTTTTTCATGGCTTGATAGACCGTTTATTAAGGAAACACAAACCAGAAGTCGATATATTATTTTGTTTTCAAGTTATTGCTAAAATAGTGAAGTTGTGCTAGAACATTCTTCTTTATTTAGTTCTCTAAATAACATTGACATAGTCCAAGCCAAAATTAAATTGGTATTTTGGTCGTATTTGTTAAGAGATTTTTTACCCCATAATCGTAGCACGTCTAGTTTCCTATATAGAGCCGCTCGATACCGTTAATGGATCACCCTGTTTATGTAGGTATATATATTTTCAAGTCCCAATTTGTTTTGTTTAACAATTTAATTTAAACTTAATGTTAACGACATGAAAAGGATAGAATAGTGGTCTAAAATATCGACAATTCTTAATTAAAAAAAGATCTGAAGCAAACATATTATGACATTTATATTGTTAAATCATAAAATCTTGCAACTTCAAAAAATTAAAAAATACAAAGTATGCCATTTAAAACTTCCACCAAGAAGTTGCAAATGTGATATTCAATTGTTTCTTTAAAAACTAATTTTTGGAGCTGTCAATTATTATGGGATTTTTTTATAAAGACAGAAAATTATCGGTTTATCATTTGATGGAAAGTCTGTACTTATAATTCTGTTAGGACAACGGATGCTGTGCTTTTTTTACACAATCATCCCATTCCTTTAAGACGTAATCGTACCCTTATCCTTTATTAAATTAGAGAGAGATTGCGCCTTTAGCTAGGAATGCATAGATCCTCAAGGGTCCTAGGACATGACAACTAAGAAGAGACAAGGATAGGGCAGTACATCTGAAATTTATTGGAAAAGGGCAGGGACTGTACAGCAGAAGACACTTTTAAATAAAAGCCCTCTGCCCTCTGCAATCGTTTCTTACTGCTCCTCAGTGCGTCCTCCAAAACTGATCTTATCCATTTACTGTTTTGCTCTTTCAAAATACTTTCATCCACATCTAAATGTCCACCAGGAAAACACATTTAATAATTTTCTGTGACTATAATTATTTCACAATAAATGGTGTAAATTATGTACGTATGATTGTAAGTATAAATCAAATATACGTAAATTATTTAAAACTAATTTTATTAATATTTTAACTAATTTATTGCAATGACATCTATTACATAATTCAAAGGCACTTTGGTCCTGAGATATATATTTGCTTACGTTGTATTTGACTTATAATCTTGTACTGAAGTATCTATGTACCTAAATTTTGTGTAGACGAGACAGTAATCAAAGATTATAACAATTTAAAATTGTTTTTTACGCTTTTACAATGTCTATTCTACGGTATGTCCGCGGATTGAGTTTACAAGAGGACAAATGGACCAAAAAGTGAAAGATACGAAAAAAGGTCATTCTTGATAAAAGTTTTCGCTTGTTTAGAAAATACGTATCACCATGACGAACTTTGTTGTACAGGGTGGGTCAACAGTACAAATATGTTATTTTGCGTAAGAGTAACATACCTTATTTTGCAAGATGTGAAAAAAGCATTCTTGATTAAAGTTTTTGCTTGAAAAATGAATAAGAGTCACGTTGTCAAAAATTTAATTAAGTATTCTCTAGCACACTTCTAATCAGAGTACCTACTAATTTATCAAATAATAATGACACTACCCAGTTTTACAATCTATGGTTAACTTGTAGTTAATTTCTTACCAAAGGTTAACTGCAAGTGAGCTGTTTCACGACATCTGGTTAACTTCAATGTCTTGGTTATGTCATTATAAAGATAACCAGAACCTTAGGTGTAAGTTAACCTGAAGATTTATAGTTAAAGTTAACCTATAAAGAGGTAACTGACATTAAAAATATAAATCAAAAATGAATTTTGAAAATTATGAGGTAAATGCTTATAGTAGCGGTGAAGATGTTAGGAAACCACGAATTTTCAATGAAGAATATGACCCAAAATACTTTTTCACAAGATTTAGGCTTTCCCCACGTACAATAGAAAATTTATTAGAAGAAATACAGGATATTATTAATCACCGTACGCAAAGGTGCATGTTCCATATTTCTATACATGTATTTTGAAAATTACAGTACCTAACTTTTTTATTTTCTTATGTAGAAAATGCCAGAGAACAGCTACTTTTGACATACATTTGTTTGCCAATGGATCTTTTCTAAGAACCACTCCAGATTTCTGTGGAGTTAGTAAAGCCATAGCAAGTAGAGTCGTGAGGATTATTATTATTGAACTTCGTACTTATCTTCCATGCTAAAAAGTTAAGAAGCACAGTATATTATGCTAAATAATACGTAAATTTAGTAGACAGGTACTAAAAACTGTCAGAAAATATGTCACTACAGGTTATTTCTTCATATTCTTCTAAATTTTGTCACTTGTCTACTGCAATAAATTCGTAACAACATTCTAAAAATCAGCTTAACCCCAGGTTGGCTTACTTGACGACTGTAATGCCTGTTGTGAAACAGTTGAATTGTTTAACCACAAGTTAACTCTTGGGTCAAGGTTACCTTACCAAAAAGATAACCAACGATTGTGAAACTGGCCGTTAAAGACATGGTCATTGTCTTTAAAATATTATAGGGATAGTCATGTATCATATCGCTACCTCATGGAACAATTTAGCGAACAATTTGTTCGATGGCAATATGCAAGAAAATAAAAAAGTTTCAAAGAACTGGTTCGGTTTTAAACTTCAGAAAGAAAAAGAAAAAATATGACCATAACCACAGTTTTAGTCTGTTAGAGGAAATTATGTGATGTCCCTTAGAAATCGTGCTAAACAGTTGTAGAAAAAAGTCATACTCACAAGATATTAAAAGAAAATAAAATATTTCCATTCAAACCACATTGGAAGAGGGATATGAAGCGGAAAGACTAGACTGTGGGTAGGAGACAAAATTTTAAATGGAAATATTGATTTAAACAAGGAAAAACCTTTACCAAGAATGCCTTTTTAGGATCTTGCAAAATAAGGTATGTCTACTCATAATATTACGTGATTCGTATTTTCTAAAGTAGCAAAAACTTTTATCAAGAATGCCTTTTTTCGTATCTTTCACTTTTTGGTCTATTTGTCCTCTTATAAACTCAATCCGCGGACATACTGTATACATCCCACACCTCTGCCAAGCTCCTTGTATGCTCCCTTTTCTTTAATTAATTAAATTTAAACTGATAAGTTACGTTAGGTCAGGCCAGGTTTTTTTTATTACCTACGCAAAACGTATGAAAAACATTTAAATCGTAAAAATGATTCCATTAAAGTTATCTCTGGTCTCTCAAGTTATATAAGAAACGAGTATGTGGGTAGTAAATAGGTTTTTCTGTCTCTATAGGTTTGCGCACTGTTGTAATTATCTTTGAAATAGTTTTGATGTTTTAATTATTATACATAGACTAATGTAAATGTAATTTTCTGTATCTATTCTTTCCTCTCAGTACCTTGCTAAATGGAAGTAAATTAGAATTACTTGATGGGACATGAATGTACTTTCGCTCTAATTGATATTGCTGCATGTGACATAATATGACTTCTATTTTTTTACAGGGCACTCAGGAAATTCAAAAACCAAACGGGGTTTGTTTTATCGACTGGCAGTTATCGAAAATTGGTTCTCCAGTTCTAGATTTAGCATACTTTTTCTTCGTTTGTACCACTGGCAACATTCTTCACGACTATAAGAAGTATTTGAAAATATATCACGATTCAGTTACTGAGTTACTAATACAGTTCTCCTGTGATGTGGAAAAGGTGTTTCCTTTTACTTTATTAGAGTGTCATTGGAAAAAATATGCCAAGTTTGGACTTTATATTGCTTTAATGACATTAAGTTTCATGTTGTGCGAAACGGAGGTTCCGAATTGGACTGAATTTATAAAATATGAAGAATCCGATAGAGAGGAGATTGCATTTGAAGGTGGTAGTGGTGTTAGTGAGCAAGGCCAAAGAATTATAGATATCATAAATGTTATGGCACAAAATAATTTAATTTAAAATAATTAGTTTGAATCAATAAATTAATTAAAGCATATAATTAAAATTAATTCCAAACGTAAAAGTTTTCATTGTAATAGATACAACAAAATAGAACTTAAATACAGGGTGGTCCCGAGGTAATGGGCTAAAATTCATGGATATAGATTCCCCAAGAAAAAATATTACGATTTGGCCGAACATAAACATAGTCCAAGAGTTGATAGTTAAAGAGATACAGGTAAATGTAAAATATTATTTCAGTTTTTTTTTCATTTATTCCTTAACAAATGCTAATATACTCACAAAATTTTGGGGTTTAGAATTCTTTGGGTAGAGGAATTGAAATCTGTTAACATTTTGGGTAAAGTTCATAGAGGGCGCTAGCTGCAGTAGATTGAATGTATTAAAAACGACATAACTTTTTTGTACTTTAAGATATATCATGTTTGCTATCAAATTCTTATTTTTCAACTTTTTTTACACGAAAAAGGTATATTTTATGAAAGTAACTATCTCGTACCGTTTTCGAGATATTTGGCTTTGAAACTTCCAATGCTGTTGCATTAAAATACAATTAAGTACCTAAAGGTATTATTAATTTAGCGGTAATGTTTCTTAAGTAGGATTTGGACGAAAATCAAATAATTGACGTTTTCCACTAGGCTTATTGCTGTCATTTGTTTGCTAATTTCTATTAAGTATTATTCGTACCTAATTAAAATTACATCTTAGCATGCAATTTAAATTGTATACTCATATACATAAATGTAAGATAGAATACCGAAATTTTCGTTTTTGGAGTTACATGAAATCAATTCTTTATGGAGAAATACATGAGAAGAACTTTAGCAGCAGGTTTTAAATGCTGCAAAGTCATTTCGCGTTAAGGATTTATACTTTAAAATAAGACAATCTTTTAATAAGCGCGTTGATAAATGTATTGCAGTTAGAGGTGGACATTTTGAGCAATTATTGTCAAAAAGGCAAATTTTTACTAATGTTTACTATTTTACTGATCATTACAATTTTTAATTCTCAATAAACCCTTGTTTTTGACGTTTCTAAATTATTTTAATTATTTCAACTATTAGCAATGGAAGTTTCAAAGCCAAATATCTCGGAAACGGTGCGAGACAGCTACTTTCATAAAATATACCTCTTTTGTGTAAAAAAGTTGGAAAATAGGAATTTGATACCAAAGATGAGATATATTAAAGTACACAAAAGTTATGTCGTATTCAATACATACATTCAATCTACGACAGCTGGCGCCCTCTATGAAGTATTACCAAAATGTGAACAAATTTCAATTCCTCTATCCAAAGAACCCCAAACCCCAAAATTTTGTGTAGATATTTGCATTAATTAAAAAATAAATGGAAATAAACTAAAATAATATTTTACATTTAACACCCTGTATCACTTTAACTATCAACTTTTGGACTAAGGTAAGTTCGGCTAAATCGCAATATTTTTGCTTCGAGAATCCATCCATGAATTTTGGCCCATTACCTCGAGGCCACCCTGTATATCATAACCAAATGATACAAGAGGCGGAGTTCGCATTCGCCCAACTACATTTTACATGATGACCATCAAAGTGTATATTGCCCTGGTTTGTTAATATACAGGGTCATTTGTAGATTCAGACCAAAAATTGTTTTCGATACAATATCTGAACGATTTGTTCAAAATCTCTAATGTTTTGGAAATATTATAAAGTTGGCTGGCATACGACTGGCATTACCAAACATTCAGAAGTTCCAATATCGGTCTTAAAAAATTAATTTGAGTTCACATAAAAAAATTCAGTCTGTATGCGACTTTTTTAATGTAAGTTAGAATTCTAAAAGTGGAAGAATAGATATTTTGTGTTTCACATTTTTGTCATGCTTTAGTTGAATTAGTTTTTAATTACATCAACGAGAAAATGCCACATTCCCGAATTATTAATTATTGTAACCATATTAGAACCAATCCTTTGACGACTCGTAGATCAATAACACATTTAACAGTTGGACAAAAATGTATAGGGGCAACAGGGTTTCATTTTGAAGATCTGTTGTAACTTTTAGGTCCGATACTTTGAGCCGTTAAAGCCTGACTAACTGATCAGGTGATTAGATTGTACATATACTGATTTATTTTATAAAGTATAATCACAATCTAATTGCCCGATAGTTAATCAAACCTTAATCGAGATCCAAAGTACCGGGCCTTATAACTTACCTGTTTTTTCGTTTGGTTTCTCAATTCGTCTTTTGTGTAGTTTTAGTTTTTTAATTTTATTTTAGAGTTTTCCGTTTCCTTATTGCATATATAAATTTATCTTATAAATTCAAAAACGTATCTAAAACAAACATGGAATTTTTATTAAATTTTTTTTAGTTATAATAGCAATAACTGATGAAATACTGCCCTGTAAATAAAAATGACAGTATTAAACATTAAACGTATTTTTATATGATGAATTTTCAGTTTTAGTCAAAATTCAAAAAGTGTGAGAAAAATATCAAACAGTCAAACACAGTTTTCATTCCCCATGTATCTACTTCTAAAATTCCTATTTACAATAACAAAATCGCATACAGAGTGAATTTTTGATATGAACTTTTCTAATTAATTTTTTTGAGATTGGTCCGAGAATTGCCGAGTGTTTGAGAATGTCAGTCAAACGTATACAGGGTGTATGTAAATAATAAATATATTAGAGGGAGGTTGCCAACGTTATTTTGTGAAACAAAGTTCATATAAACGTAGGTCGAAATATGCTTCGTTTCCGAGATACAGAGTATTTAAATTTTAATTTTAAATTTATGTTTATAATTGTTTCAAAGAGTTTTAAAGATATTGTCTCGAAATTTGAAAAACGTTTTGGAGGGATAAATGTGCATTTTTTGGAGTGATCCGAATATTTCTACTTGCACGAGTGGCGTTCGTGCGAGAATGCCACAACCTTTTTAAATAAAAAAATGGTACACCACTGACTTCTTCCCGTTCTGATATATTTTTAGAAATCCGCGATCAATTCTGAATGAAATTGGTCACTTCAATTTTTTTTTGTAGGATGTACCATTTTTGAGGAAAAAAATGAAACATATTTTATTGCAAGTTGTGCATTTTTAATTTCTATTGATACGTTATCTAATAGGTTGCAGTCAATATTTCTAAATAAAATAGAACTATCAAATTTCGAGTCAACATCTTTGAAATAATTACTTCAGCAAACACTCACGAAAATATTCCGTACTTATTTACAGACACCCTGTATAATTCCAACAAAAATTTGAGAATTTGAGCAAACTGTTCAAATATTGTATAGGAAATAATTTTTGGTCTAACAAATGATCCAGTATATTATTAAGATTTTTAAACTCTCTTTAGGTACATAGTTTTACTGCTATTGCATGTATTATAAATTCAAGATATGTCAGTTTTCTCCTTTAAGTAACTGTAGAGTTATGAAATTGACTTCATTTCATAGTAATTAAAACGTTGCACATTGTTTGTCATTTTATATAACATCAAATAAATGACCCAAATATTTTTTTAGCCTTATATCCTCGCCATATTTCGTAAAGACGCAAGATCCAGAAAAATCATACCATCATTCCAAATTTCCTGGAAATATGCCACGTAATTGTCAATAACTTGGGAACGACTAATCTGTCCAATACCGGGTATCGGGGTTACGTGAATTGAAGGGTATTTTCCGAAAGTTTCATGAAGTTTAATTAATTTTTAGAAAATTGACAACAATTTTAAGAGACATCAATTTTTGCCATTTTTTAATTAATTTGCAATATTATTTCTGCAATAAAAAAAATGGAGCTACTCTGTCTTGTACAAAATTTCATTTAAACGCAGAGCCGAGGTATTGAAGAAAAATAGGCATTCTTGGCGACGTAAACTGTTAATAACATGTTTTCCTTATTAGGTGACAGGCGTGTATTTTAATGTGTTGTTCTATTAGTACATCAAATACATAAAAAGCACTTTGGGTGATATTTAACCTCTTTATGTAGCTAAGGGACTATGGAAAATAAAAATAAATTTTCAGACCAGATTTTATATGGACATTCTACGGTGGCAGAAAGTGATATCGCAGCCCAGAGTGTTATTACAAAATGTGCAGCAATTATAGGGTTCATCAGAAGAGAATCCGAATTCTATTGTTCCAATAAATTTTAATAATTATTCAAATCGTAATTTTAATTTTGTCGTTAATAAAAATTGATTTTTAAAATTCTACCTTTATTAGATTAGTTACCGCCTCCTGATCGCTAATTTGTAAACGTCACTTACAAATGTCTCAACAAATTTAGTAAAGGTGTCAAATAATCTGAGTGTGCAAAAAATATATTTATATCCAATTTGTAAAACAAAGTAGAAAATTACTACTTCTGAACCTCTGCCTACTGGACAATTACTCACAATTTATGTTTATAATTTTTTCTTTCAAAATTAAATTTCTACGTGCATGTGTGCTATCGAAAATAAATTTTCAAAGTTCATTCAGAATAATAGTAAATTTATTAAATAAAATTGATGGGTAATTCATTTTATAGATAAATGAATATTTTAGATACTTTGCAATACAGGTTGAAAAACTCTAGAAAATATGCTGGCGATTTTTCACTTTGCCATTTCCATAAAGTTCAGTAACTGGCGACATCTCCCTCACCTTAGGTTCAGTTAAGTCGGGTGTCACTTTCGCTTTCTTACCCTTAAATATTATTGACGTTCTCATCTTAAACCGCCAACGCTACTCCGGTTAACATAATGAAAGATATGGAGACGTAAAATATAATATTAAGTTCATAACTCCATCTCTGTGGATAATGTCTCATAAAATGGCGTAGTATGTACTTGGGCACCTCTGTAATATTGTCTTCCTGATTGCCAATATTCAAGAAAAGAAAAGAAATATTTGCTTTTAGCATTTTTTCCTTCTTCCTTAATATTGTATATTATATTATGTTCCTGTACGTTTGTTTTGCAGAAATAAAACAGACTAAAATGAAATATAAATAGCATTGCTTTGTTGAT